GTCAATAAATGGCTTCCTGTAAAAAGGAGACCATGTTCCTTGCTCTTCATGGGTAATTCTCTGCTCTTCCTCATGTGTAAATATCTGATATAATAAAAGTAAAAAGCCAGCATTCTGTCTATTTCTTGTGTGGCATTTAAAGTTATTGTTGCTAGGTCTCTGAGGCCCCAGTTAAGGATCCATACCCTGTCCAAAGAGAGGCAGCAAATAACAGAAGAAGCATAAAGTTTGGTTCTAATAAATAATTCTCCTAACCAGGAATTTATCCTGAAGGTGTTACCAGTGTGGTGGCTCGAGCCTGCAGTTCAATCTGTTGCCCAAACCACCAGAGCCCACTCCAACCTGGTCTGGAGGAAACCCAAGTCAGGGGAGGGGCTCAGTACTAACCTGAACAGAAACCCATGCAGGAACCATGCACGATACCGCCATGCCACTTTATGAGTTTTCTCTGGGCTCAGATGGGTGGTGCGTGGCTGTGACATCAGCCCGGTGAGCCACTGCAGGAGATTTAAAAGGCACTGAGGGTACCAGAGAAAGAGGAGGCAGGGAAGCAGGCTCCCAGCAGCTAGAGCCCAGAAGCAGGAGCCTGACCCGGAATAGGAGCATTGGGGAAGGCAGGACCCTGGAGTGGGTCTATTTCAATCAAGAATAAGAGAGAGAAAGAGCCGCAAGGTTCTATACATTAGAGATAGTTAGAAGATGCTTAAAATAGAGAATGTCACAAATTTGTGTTTAGTAGCAATATTTTCTTTATTTCTTACATAATTGTAAAAGAAGTAAAAAGACCAGAGATACAAGTCTAGCAAAAAAGGACGCAGCAATCCTCACTGATCTGCCGGGAGAAAGGAGAGCAATTTTGGATAAGGGAATTACACCTGAAGAGAACAAAACACCACAGGAATTAAGGCTAACCACATTGCAGCCAGCATCAACAGTTAAGGATCACAAAACATCATCATCAGCGGCTGGCGAATGGCCAGGGTGTAGGGATGGCAGAGGCCCATGAAAGCTTCAGTGGCACCGTGAGTAAAGCCCGGACAGGGACCCATATTATTCCACACTGAACCCCTCCTAAATATTATTTCACCAAGACATGGCAGGAGAGATGGGGATAGTGCTTTGCCTGGGAGGTTTTTTCTTTCTCTTAGTCACAATACGGCCCGAGGCATGACACCGGACAGTTTCCAGCCACTTAGAATCTTAAGAGAGAGTCCAGAGAAGAGCCACGCGCATGATCAGAGGTCAGGAAAACAGACCTTACGACAACAGGCTGAGAGCCATGGGGCTCTTTAGCCTGGAAAAGTGCAGGCTCAGGGGTGATCTGATGGCCACCTATAAGTTTATCAGGGGTGATCACCAGGATCTGGGGGAACATTTGTTCACCAGAGCGCCCCAAGGGATGATGAGGTCGAACGGTCATAAACTACTGCGAGACCGTTTCAGGCTGGACATAAGGAAGAATTTCTTTACTGTCCGAGCCCCCAAAGTCTGGAACAGCCTGCCATCAGAGGTGGTTCAAGAACCTACTCTGAACACCTTCAAGAGTAAATTGGATGTGTATCTTGCTGGGATCCTATGACCCATGGATCCCATGGATGTGTATCTTGCTGGGATCCTATGACTTCCTGCCCTTTGGGCGGGGGGCTGGACTCGATGACCTTCCAAGGTCCCTTCCAGCCCTAATGTCTATGAGAAAATTAATGTTCTTCTTTGGCTTATATATGACCTTTGGAAAGCAAAGCAAAGAGCCTTTGGAAAACCACAAGAGGAGCCTTTCCTTTCTAAAGGAAATTTAGAAAGCCATGCATTTAGTACTTCATTAGTGTACAAATGATGACACCATTCAGAAATCATAAAATCTTCATACAAAATTATCTATACTTTTTTATCTGAGAGCCTACTGGACCAAGGACAGTAGTGATAGATTAACAGTGAACATCTTGTCAGTAGTAATGTTCCCTTGGACCCTAGAATTATTGGGGTTGTCATCTACGTGCCCTAGGACAAACCTAGAATGCTTGCCCACCATGTAATCTCATTTCATTTAATACCCCAACCTAGACCTCAATTTTTACTTGAACATATTGTCCCAGATATTAAGAATTCATTTAAAATGCAGAAGCATTTAAAATGCAGACTACAACACCTAAAACATGGCGGGGGGTGGGGGGAGGTAGTATCTTCTTTACTACCATCTAGTGGTAGTTTAAAATATATTTACCGGAATTTCATGGTAAAGGGTGAAAAACATGCAAAAAAACAGTGTTATTCTGAATTACATCAAAAACAGGCAAGACTGGGGTTGGGAGTGTCACTGATTTCATTCTCTGTGATTTCAAGAATCATTTAACATGCGAGGCAGACACTGCAGTCATTACTTCTAAATACTAAAATGTTGTCTTGTTATGATTTCCTATTGTACTGTAGGCAAAAAGACCCAAGAGGGTAGAGTCTATTACACCTGCATACTCTAGTAAACAAAACAATAATTATCCTATACTACAATTTGTGAAGACTTTTTTTTTTTTTTTTTGCTAATTCATCTTGGATGCATATATCAACACATTCAGTGTCAAAACAGTATGATGTGGATTTTGTAGTGTGTAGCTGTCAATACAAACCAAAAGAAAATGAGCAAGAAACTTAAAAATCTGCAATACTTCATACATTAAAGTGACTTCATAAAGAATTTACACACAGTGTACTACATATAAAATCACAAATGTATGCTTTGGTTGTGCATTCAACTCTTGAATTTAAAATTGTACAGATCTTAAGTGATGCATCTTTATTTTTAATTCAAAAGTTGAATGCACAACCACAGCATACCTTTTTATTTTATATATAATATAGTGTGAATTCTTTATGCAGTCACTTAACATGAATTATTGCAGATTTTTTAAGTTTCGTGCTCATTTTCTTTTGGTTTGTTTTGGCACAATGCAACTTCTGGGGGAGGGGGAGGAGCAAATATTTATTTATTCAATCAGCAGGGATAAAACATAATTAGTGAAGCCAGTAACTCAGGTACAACAACTTAAGCTAGCAAGGGCTCGGTAGAAAACCAATTACTGTATCTTAAAGAAGCTGCTCTGTTGCAGTGGCTGCCCCTAAGAAAGGAAAAGAGTCATTAGGCTAGCAACAAACTGCATTTTAATATTTAGTACATGAGGACTAAGCAAAATGAGGTAGTTAAGTCTAGCTACCATTTGTAAATTAATCCATACCCTCATACAGAACTTTTAAACAAGTGGTGGAGTTGGAATTCAGGGCTAGAGATATGAAATTTGTTACCTACCTCCAAGAACTGAAAAAAGTCATGTTTTAGGGGAGTGAATCTACCTTGAATGTTAAATCTGTTATTTGGTAAGTTGGATCCATTAATAAACTATAAAAAAGGAAAAAAAAGTAAATCAGGGCAACTACAGCCTCATGATCTGGGAAAGAAGTTCAATAAACTGATTCAACCTAAATCAGCTAAATCTGATACTACTACATCTATCCAACTTTATCTGATTTCAGCCATTTTGAAAGTGGTTTATATGCACTGAACTTCTGTTGTGTTACAGCTTTGAACTGGTATCTGATCAGTTATACTACTTTGTGTGTAATTTCTGTCCCTAGCCCATTAGTTTAATGTAGTTGCATGCAAGGTTTTAGGAAAGATCACTTAAGTAAATGGAGGTAAACTCATGTTTCATGTCCCTTTTAACAAATGTAGATCATGGACTTTATTTAAATAAAAACCTGGACTTTGTAGATGGGGAAAATGGGATAAGACTAATCTATCTAGATTGCACTTAAAACATATGATCTGGTACTAGAAGAGAAAATTAGAAAAGATAAGGATTAAAATAAGAAATGTAAGGAGACTTAGAAACTAGCTGCAGGAGAGAACACTAGGTAGTGCTGAAAGGGAAACTACTGAACTGGAAGGTGGTTGCTAGTAGAGTTTAAGTACTGGTCTTAGAATTGATCTTATTTAATACTGTCATCAGGAACAGATGAAGTTGGAAAATAGTCAGTAAGCAGGAGCACTAGGATACTACAGAGGAAAAATTAGATGATTTTGAGAACTAGAACAATTGAAATGGGGTAAAATCCATTAGTGTAAGTTCATTAGGGGTACAACAAAAATTTCACTGACCTTTAACTAGTGAAGATCTAAGATACACAGGCTGAGCACAGGAGGGTCCCTATAAGCCAAAGTGATAAGTTCACAAAAAAGGCAAATGAAAACCTAGGACACATTAGCTATGCTATTTTCAGTTGAAGTAGGGAAGTAATGGTACCAGAAAATAAGGCTATGATAAAACTTTGTTGGGAAAATTGTACAAAGCTCTAATCATCACTCTCTCACAATTATACAGGTGCAGGGAAAGGCTACTAAGATGATCAAAGAAATAGTAAACCTGTTTTAGATGTGAAGACTTAAGGAACACTGCTTGTTTACACTAGCAAAACAATGGCTGAGAACAGATATGACTACTCCTAAATAGTGCACCTCTCTGTAACCAAAATAGAGGAAGGAGGGTTACATAAGCTAGAGGACAACGTTGGCAAAAGAAAAAAATGGATAGTAACTGAACATAAATAAATTTAGGCTCAAAACCAGAAGTGAGTTTCTAAAAGTCAGAACAGTGAGGGGATGTACCAGCTTTCCAATGGGAGTAGTGGGAGCAAAGAAGTTTTATGGTAGATCCTGAAAATGTATAGAGAGGATTACGTGATGACATTGTCTGTGATAGCAAGGGAATAGACTTGATAACCCAGGAGATTCATCCCATTTCCATATTCCTACATTCCTAGAAGTAAAGAACTAGTGAATGTTTAAGTGAAAACATTCTTATGCAGCCTTCAGACAATCAGCTGTTAGCATTCCGTGATCACTGTCTTTCTGAACTGCTGCATGATGGCGTCATTATACTAAAGCTTCTGTTTATTCTCAATTTAAAAACAAAAAACAAAAAACCCACACACACATTTCCTGTATTTTTCAGAAGTTGAGGGTAGTACAGCCCAGGCTAATCTCCAGGTTCATTGTTGCCAGTGTGCCTCCTGAAAACCATTTCAGCGGAAAGTCAAAAGCAACAAGAAGAATGGGGTTCAATGTGTCATACAAGAAACTATCAGGTAAATACAAAACAGTTCTGTGAAGTATGCATTAATTGAGAAAAGTTTATGGTGCTCCCTGTTTGGGTGTATTTATTATCAACAGCAACATTTAAAAGCAAGTCATTTAACCAGAATTCAGCAAAGCATCACTGAAGACACTTAATTTTCTCAGCAAATAACTGGGAAAGAAGACCCACATTGATTAGTTATAGGACATATTAAAGAATTGCAAGTCAGAGGTGCAGAGAGGTGGGGAAGGGAGGGAAGCATAAGAAACTGCATTTTGCCACTTTCTGTGAATGACCTGAGGCACATCACCTAGGTCAGGTAGACATTACACTTATGGGTATAAGTGATCAGAAACTGATATATATGCATAACAGAACAGAAAAGCTTGCCACATAAAACTGGTCTACACTCATAACACCAGAAGTTCAGTACATGTAGACTAGTTCAAAGTGGCAGAACTTGGTCCAAGATTTGCCCCCCCCCCCCCCAGGTGGGCATGTATTCTGTTCATTAGGGTAAGTCTACACAGAACAATGCAGTGCCATATTCCAACTATCTCAGATATAACAAGAAACATTAAATGCCTTAGCACAATGCTCTGCCCTGCCTAACTGATCCTGCTAAGACAAATTAACACAGGTATCTGCACATGGCACAGCACTGGACCCAGTAGACATGTCTTAACTGCCCAAATCAACTCTGTACTCTGGCTCCCAACAGCATTGATGTAGGCAAGTAACAGAAGTGGCTAAAAGTTAATGTCTGGCTGCTTTTGCTTCTGAAGTGTTTACTTCACCTCTGGTTGCCCACGATCCTATGTTTTAGAGACTTTTTTTTAAATGGAAAGAGGAAGTGATAGTATGCTCAAATTTTTGGGCCTTCTTCCCCTCCATAAGTTTTGCTTGCTTTATGGCCTCACTGTTCCAGTAAAGTGGAAAAGAAGGACCAAAGCAGAACAAAGAACGGAGCCCTCTGCACCTCAGTTTCTCTTTCCCAATCAGTAACATGAAAGCAATAATGCCCCTTTATCTGTCTGATAGGCATATGGTCTTCACGGACAAAAGTTAATACAGTACTTGGACTCTCCAAAGAGCAATGCAATGAATCTCCAAAGCAATGTAAAAATGTTTACTGTAACATTAAAGCAAAAACAAGGCCACAAGTTCACTAAACAATGGCAATAGTATACTGCATCTAATCCGCAAACAGATTCTTTGCTAACTGGTTGACTATATGTTGCTTGCTTTCAAACAAGTCCTTTATATGGTTACCAAGCCATTCTCCACCCCCAAAACCCACAGGCTTGCACAACTAATATAATCCTTGAGCTAACAGAACCCATCCATTCTCATCCTGTCCTGCATGAGCCCTGAAAGACAAAAGTGCAGCATAAAGAGACTGATTCTCTCTTACGCAACTCAGGGACATATTAGAATTTTACAGGTTTAGCATACCATATCACAGAGGCTTAATTTTTGTGCCATCACTGGCTAGACAGAGTTCCTCCAAATCGCCCTGCCATGAATGTTTACTCAGGAAATAGGGGTGTAAGTTGTAGTCATGTTGGTCTAAGAGCGTAGACAAAAAAATGTTTGTTGGGTAAATCTGATCTCTTTTATTAGACTGACACAAATAGTTGGAAAAAATGTTCTTAGCAAGCTTTTAGGCACAAACACCCTTCGTCAATCAAC